TGGAGTAGTTATATCACCCAAAAGGACTTCGAGTTCTTGTCAGGAAATGGTGTAAATGCTGTGAGAATTCCAGTTGGTTGGTGGATAGCACATGATCCCTCTCCTCCTAAGCCTTTTGTTGGGGGGTCCTTGCAAGTTTTGGACAATGCATTTAAGTGGGCACAGTGAGTAATAATTTTATGAATTTGTAATGGTGTACGAGTGAAATTCAATTCAAAATTCTTAATCAGTATTATGAGTATCCAACGCAAATATCATAATACTCTTATTATAAAGTTGATGATTATCTCAAGAAACAAAAAAACTCCATCGCGAGTGATTAAATTAAATTTGTGAATTTGATGTTGTAGGAACAATGGAATGAAAGTGATAATTGATTTGCATGCGCCTAAGAGTTCGCAGAATGGAGAACAACATAGTGCATCAAGAGATGGATATCTGGAATGGGGAGAGTCCAGTGCAGTGGAAACTGTTGCAGTCATTGACTTCCTTGCAGAAAAGTTCAATTTCAATAAGCTTCAACCTCTCTTATTATGTTTAGGATAAACTTAAAATTTTGAAAATTTATTATAAAATTTTACATAAGATTAAAAGCTATAGTGGTGCACAGGTATGGAAGGCATCCAAGTCTAGCAGCAATTGAGTTGATGAACGAGCCAGTTGCACCTGGTTTGGGGCCAGTTACACCAGGTGTGGATCTAGATGCCCTGAAAAATTACTACAAAGCTGGCTATGAAGCTGTAAGGAAATACACATCAGATGCGTATGTCATCTTCTCGAATCGCTTGGGACGTGCTGATCCAAAGGAGCTGCTAGAGTTTGCTGCAACGTTTGATCGGGTAGTCATCGATGTACATTACTACAACCTCTTCTCTCCAGTTTTCAAAAACAAGAATGTGCAGGAAAATATCGATTACATCTACAATCAACGAGCCTCGGATCTTAACACCATCATGACATCTAACGGCCCTCTCATCTTTGTGGGTAAGTAAAAGTAAAATCAAAAGAATAGTACTATTTTTTGTGTTAAATTAATTAATTATTTTTATTTTCAGGGGAATGGACAGGAGAGTTCGATGCAAATGAGGAAAAATCAATGGAAGATTATCAAAATTTTAGCAAAGCTCAAGTAGATGTTTATGGGCGTGCTTCTTTTGGCTGGGGATATTGGTCTTACAGATGTGAATCGGAAAATCGATGGAGCCTCCAATGGATGCTACAAAATAACTACATAAATCTCTAGGCAGTTACTACAATGTTCTTCTTCCTCATATTTCTTACCATGACAGTACCTCTGTGTTAGTAATCTTAATTTTGACTGCCCATGCTTGTCTTTCAAACCGTAGAGAGTGCTATAAACCTCATAATTTTATGGGGGAAGAAAAAGGTAGTAGGATTAATATTTACTATGTATGTTTTTACTTGAGAATATACGGAATATGTACTTTTGTGTGTTATATTTCATCAATAGATCAAGAGTAATAAATTATAGTTTTCATATATGAGACATGGTTTTATTACACTTCAAATTTTGTAATTGTTTATGATGATTTAGTTTCTAATTTGTTTTTATAATCATTTTATATAGAGTATATTTATATGTTTTTGAATTCGTATTTAAGAATAAAAAATGTAAAATAATCTATTAAAAATTAATAATTTCATATAAAAGAACAATATATTGAATTACACAAATAAATTGTCATGGAAAAAATAATTTTTTTTTTTTAAATTGTAGCAAAAGTGATTACATGGTATAATTGTAATTTGGTTGTATAACTTTTGTTGTTTGCAAAACCAAAGTAGTTTAGAATCGAATGCTCCACCATTTCTACGAGGCCAGCTATTTCATTTTTGTTCACCAAACACTCTTATTGACGATATTTGCATTGCAGAAAACGGTGCGTTTTATTCAAACAGAAACGGCCGCATTTTGGTATAAATACTTCAATTTAAGGCTTATTCTGTCGAGGTTCCCGTTAAACTCACCTGTCCCCCGCACAACTCACTTCGAATTCTCCGCTCTCTCTTCTCCAATGGCAGCAGCTGCATCCAACTCTCTCTTCTCTCTTGCTCCGAACTCACTGAGCCAACCCAGAAGAGTCCCGCAGTCTCCTCCACTATTTTCTATCAGTCTTCCTCGATCTCATCCTCTGTCGCTCAAATCCACCCGTCGATCCAACTCGATCACATTCTGTTCCGCGGATGCCCCCAACAGCGCAAAGGAAGAAACCCCCATCGAACTCAGTGCGTTTCATCTCGCACTGTGAATTTCTATTAGTTCCATAAAACCAACTCTTGCATGTGACTTGACTTTTTTTTCCTCTTTTTAATTTCTAATTTTCCATTTACAGGATACCCAGCATTTCCGACGGTGATGGACATTAATAAGATAAGAGAAATATTACCCCACAGGTGAATTCTAACTTAAAACTAATGGGTTTCTTTTTGACGATTTCTTTTCTCCTTCTGATTTTTTTCTTCTTTTTTTTTTTTTTAATTTTTCTGTGACGACGCTTTTTCTTCTTCTTCTTGGTTTTGGGTTGTGTTGTAGGTTCCCCTTTCTGTTGGTCGATAGGGTTATAGAATACAATCCCGGCGTATCAGCAGTTGCTATAAAGAATGTTACGATAAATGATAACTTTTTCCCTGGGCATTTCCCTGAAAGGCCTATAATGCCTGGTGTTCTAATGGTGGAGGTAATTATTTACTCGGATTTGATCAACTTTCATCAAATATACGATTCGTTTCTCTTTGTGTAATTTGTTTTACATTCATTAGTTAAGAAGATAAGCTGTTGGGTTACTGAAATTCGTCTACTTTGTTGCTTGTTCATTTTTTGATAAAGCTTGTGTGAGATGGGGTATGATGTCTTGATTGTTTATTTGTGCTTGCTTCTTGGTAATAGGTATTCTTGGTCACTTATTTATGTTAGGAGGTTAGATTTTATACTATGGGTATACTCGGAAGAAGTATAGTATTCTATGTAATTCATCTCGAAAACTGTACTTATTTTAAGAGAAGTATACTAAGTTCAATTATTAAACAACAAAAATTTAACTCTGATAGGACAAAATCCAACTCCAAATATATTCCAAATAGACTTGAAACAAATACATTTCAGGTTCTATTTGGAGTTGTATTTTCATCCTCTTATGCTTGAACTGAGTGTATATTTATGAATCAACCCGGGAAAAATAGTTCATTCCTTCCAGATCCTAAGTCTAGCCATGTTAGATAACGCTAAAAGGTTTTAATTTCTACGAACATCTCCCCTTGTTCGATTTACCATGGTGGTTATTGTTCACGTGCCTGAGGGAGATGGTAATGAAAAATAGAATAAGAAGTGGATGTGGTTTTACTAAGCTACATTATGGAAAATTGAAAAGAAAGTCAGAGTAACAAAGTGGGATGTGAATTATAGTCAAAATTGAAGGGTTTACACAGGCAACAATTCAGTCTGAAAGGATTCAGATTTTGACAGGGAAGGGGAAGGACCACTACTAGGCTAGGATTCAATAAAGCCCTTGGAAGAAAGAAAAGATAGGAAGATGTCTGAAATTGGAATAGATGGACCGTCATACTTTTGTCGAACCTGAGGAGAAATGGATCTGATCCTTCCCGCTCATTTCAAAAACATTTAGGAATCCTAGGTGTGGTGTTAGTCATCTGGCTTATAAAACTTTATTATGGGGTCTATTCCACCGTTTAGATGTTCTTTGACGATACAGCAGTAAAGCAGCTTTGTACTTAATTATCATTAGTTGTGCTGCAGGGCAGGGATGGGGTTGGGGGGTTGGAGGGAAGAAGATTGAATGGAGGAGCATTTAGTAGTCGTCAACTCTATGATATGGGACACTTAATGATGCACTCAGTGACTCAGAAACTTCTCATTCTTTAAGGTGAGTAGCATTACCATAATGTGAAGTTGCTGTATCCTTCACTGAGGGAGTCCCAGCACATATGCTCTACCATGGGATCTTATGAACCACATCAAATGCTTCTATCAGGTACTTAACCGTTGGGAAAATGAGCCATGTCATGCGCATGTTTAATTTTCTTAGTCGAACTATTAGCTCTTCGAACTCTTATTGTGAAAGAGGACCTTGGAGCTTGGAGCTTTACTCAAGGACCTTTAAGCTCATGGTTTAGATGTCACCTTGATCCTAGAAGACAACATATATAAATCACCTAAACAATTGTTCAGCATTAAAGAAACTGCTTTCCGGGAAGAGGATTTTCTACCTATGGTATGTGCTTGGTGTGTACTTCTCGAGATGGATCTATTTGTTTTCTGATTCTTTAATGGGATAAGAGTTTTGTTCTATATTTTGCCACTGCCCTTGAAATAGAAATTATTCAGCTCAGGTTAAAGTAGTTATTTAGTTATTTCAATGGATACTATCCAAATCTATAAAAAAAATTTGTACTGTTCAACACTGTCAATAATTAGGTTACAGTTTACAAAATACTATTGTTTGACCAATATCGAACTAATACTATCGATGTTGTTCTGTCTGGTTGTATTGGACAAAACATATGGTTCTTACTGAAATATGATGGCCCCTTTTACCGTTTTGTACTTCTTTATACTATTGTCAAAATATGATAACCCATTTTATGATACCATTCTATATACCAGCCCCCTTGAGGTAGTTCAATAATCACCTTTATTGGTTTATAACTTCCCTTTTTTCTTTTGAAAAAAGGAGTCCTATAAGTTGAAAGGCAATTGATAACTTCCACTTAAGTTATGTTTTTTTCAAAAAAAAGATAACTTCCACTTTAGGCATTGGTTCATGACAATTCACCATTAAAGAGTGATTACCTGGACCTGCAATTGATTTTTTTTCTCTTCCATTTTAATAGCCTTTTTTCTGTGTGGAGAAGATGAAAGATTTCATATAAAGGGTGCCAAAGGAATGTCAGTGATGTACAAAAGCCATACAGAACCCAAAATGCTGAGAATTACAGAAAAGATTCAGACAAAAATCAATGAGCTACCAAATCTTTCCGTTGGAGAATCATTTGACCTTCAGAAAAAAATATATAATGTTTGGAAACCAATGGTTTCTTATTCTAGCAAAATATACCCTCAAAAATTGTTTTATTACTTCTCCATATAGTCCAGAAAATGGCACAGGGAATGATGGCAACAAGCTTCTTCATGATCCTATGGCAGCAGATCCCTTTACATGCTAACAGGTCATCCTGATGATGTCCACTGATGCTTGAAAGCCTAATAGCCAAATCCCAAATGCTTGTTCCCACAGAACACCATAAAAGAAGATGGTTTGAGGAGGGCCAAGGGAGAGGGATACATTAGCACACAAACACAGTGGACAACCATTGACAGCGAGTGCAGCTTCTCTTTCTCAGATCGTCCATGGTAAGAATGTGGTACCATGTGGCTTCCGAAAGTAAGAAAGCAATCCTACAATTCTACGGGAAAGCCTTGCACTTGCAAATAGGTTTTCAGGCTAAGCTGTCAAGGACTAGGTCATGACTCAGCAAGGCATGATTTAACCGAGAAATTATCATTCTTTGATAAATCCTGAAGTGGGAAACCTTTAAATTCTGATCCACTGAAAAAGTGTCGGGTAGTATGCAAATTCACTTACTAAGAATGCTAATCACAATGGAAAACAATTAATAAAGAATGCAGCTCCTCTTTCTCAGATTGCCATGGTAAGAATGCGATACCATGTGGCTTCCGAAACTAAGAAAGCAATTCTAGGGGAAGCCTCACGGCAAATAGGCTTTCAGGCAAAGCTGTCAAGGATCAAGGCATGATTTAACCAAGAAATTATCATTCTTTTAGTAGATTCCATATTGGGGCATCCTTTATATCCTGACTTGCTGAAAAAGTGTAGTACATTATGCAAATTCATAGACGACTCGATTTCTCAATCATTGAGATTTTGGGAATACAATATGTGAGGAAACAGCATCCAGGACTGAACAAAACCCACTCCTTCATCTCTATTCTAAACTATGGTGGATGAAATGCGGATGTAATTTATTTTATTATGAGAATAAGCAGCTTGCATTCCAACCATAGTCTTATGGCAAATACAATCTCACTTATTCAACAATTCACCCCCTATAGCATGTGCTAAACACCCACTAATTGCTAGAATGAAACACTTTAGTAATATGTCTCCTTGTTATTCTTATATATTTACTTGTAGTAAGTCCTAATTGAAGTGGTTGCTTACTCCAGGCAATGGCCCAAGTTGGAGGATTGGTTATGCTGCAACCTGAAGTAGGAGGTTCGAGGGAGAATTTCTTCTTTGCAGGGATTGATAAAGTCAGGTTTCGGAAACCTGTGATTGCTGGAGATACATTGGTAATGAGGATGACTCTTGTGAAGTTGCAGAAGAGGTTTGGAATCGCAAAGATGGAAGGGAAGGCATACGTTGGGCATGATGTAGTATGCGAAGGTGAGTTCTTGATGGCTACAGGTAGCAGTGAATGATGTGGCTCGCTGTGTTCTTTTTGGTCCCTTGCAATTTTCAGTTGAGTTGAACTAGATGTTTGTTTCTGTTTTGTACTTTTGACATATACATCCATTGAAATAGTGTTAGTATCTTTGCTATGCAATCAAATAATTTCATCTCTCAATAATTTGTTCTCCATTTAGAAAGATAAAAACGTTTCCTTCTTTTCTAGAATTCCATTTTGTCTGTCTTGGCGGTCAAGCCTTTATATTATCACCTTTGAAATTTGAAAAAGTTTCAGACTTAATCAAATGTTTACTAAATCATATTTGATGGAATTATAATGACTTGATATTTTATCAAATCAATTTAGATTGCATCATACCTGGACTTCAAATTTCATATTTTGAAAATTTTGACAAGGACAAGGAAGAGGAAAAGGACAAAACGCAAAAATTACCAAACCTCCCATCTGAGGTTTGATTGAGAGTAGTTGTTTGTTGAAAACTCTTACACAACTTACTTTTGCCAAATTTACCAAAAGAAAATGAATGGCTAGCAAAAAGTCTATTCCTCCTGAAATTCGAATCTTCTGAGAATCAATATCCACCTATTAAAATCCTCTTTAGTGTAACTCTAAAAGATCTTGAGTCCGCCCTCATCACGATGCGGCTTGTTTAAAGCCACTACTGCAAAACACATTCACTGCCAATAAATACACTTATAAATTTAAATTACCTGTTGTTGCATAGAGAAAACATGCTATTTGATCCATGATTTTTAAATCTACATCTGCAGATAAGTGAGTGCCTTTCTATGTTACAAAAAATAAAGCAAGAAAGAAATTGAAATCCATGATTGGCGTTTTAGGTTTCTTTTTTTGTTGCTCCCAATGTGTCTCGTGAATGCATATTGACATAACCTTTAGTTATGCACAGTGGGTGTGAAGGGGAGGGTACTGTGTCCTTTATGCAGCCATCATACCCCCTTTCTTCTTTTTTCTTTTGGGTTTGGAGTTGGTAGGAAACATCAATTATTACAGAGCCTTAAATTTGATGGAGTATCTCTTTAAATCTACAACCACACACTTGTTTGCTTCTCCTTGCCTCTCCTCACCTTTTTCAGACGGTGAAGATTGTTTTTAAGTATTTATCACTTGTTGGCTGCCTGCTACTCCTCCTCAAGATTTTAATAGTGAAGGAAGAAGGCGTGGCCAACGCCTCTATGCTCCAGACTACTGAAGTCAACTTGCTTTACATCTCTTCCTCTGTGTTTCATATGGACATCACTTTTTCATGGGTTTGCTTTGAATTATTTTTCTCATGTTAAGACTTTACTACAAGAATATTACTTATATAGTAATCGAACTCAAATAATTATCACACGAAACCCATATTTTTTATTCACCGGACTAGTCTTTTATGCTCACTTTGAATTAAATATACTAAGACGTGATATTTCTATATCCTAATTTAGTAAGATATATATTTATTTTTCACTATATTTTGTACTAATTTCGATTTTCTTATTAGTTATCCATTGACAAAGAAATGCAAAATACAATATTTGAATTCATACTTTTCGAACGTGAGATAAAAGTAGTAATCATTTAATTAAAGAATAAGTATAACAAGTAATGGTACTAATTATTGATCATCTAGACACACAAACGTAAGAGCAAAATGTTTAATCAAGTAGTTTGGACTTTTGTGCAGAAGAAACTACTCTGAGCGGTGAACACGTAAGATTGGTAGTGAGGAATGACAGCGAAATTACAAAAGTTAATCATGAACTAAACCCATACATAAACTGATTAATGGTTAATTAATTAATTAAATTAGTAATTAATAGTCCCACTAGGTAAGTTTAAAAATGTGATTGACAGTGATAACCCGGATAATAATATTTAACCACCTGGAAAAATGAAGCTGAGGGGCTTAGTGATGGTGGGGCCCATTTATATGACGACATTCAATGGTTTGATTGGGGGGGTGTTTGGGTTACTAGGATTTTGCTGTTTTCTTTATTTATGTTTCTTTTTCTTTGTTTTTATTTTTTTTAAAAAATTTTTATATTTAAATGTTGTTTGGCTTTTTGTAAGAAGCAAGTATAGGCCTGGGACCCAATAATTGACATAAAAGGGTACAAAATAATTGCTTAAAATTAAAATAATTGTGCTTTTTCTTTAAAAATTATTTTAAAAAATTAAATTAATTATTATGAAAAAAAATTATTATTATTATTATTAATATTTTAATAATTTAATCATACCCATCAGATAAACAAATAAATCACTAGATGTTGTAAGTTAATAGTTTCCTAATTAATATTATTATTAATTTATTTTTCAAATCTTATCAAATTTGTATGTACATTTAGTTATACTAATTTTTGTATATTTAAACCCAATTTTTTTAAAAAAATGAAGTCATAATAATTTAAACTATCTCATCTCTTGTTTGTTTATTGAATTTGATATCCTTCTTTTTTTTTTTTTTAAGTTGTTGTGTCCAATTTAATTATTAATTTAGTTTGTTGATTCTTTAATGATATAATAATTAATCAATTAGAGATGGTTTTGTTTAAATAATTCTCTCTTTTACTTATTTCTTATTTGTTATTAAATAGTTCATAACCAGAAGAGGCATGGTTCTATGAACTGAATCTGAGACAATATTGAAGAGATCAGAAATAATAATACCAGAAGAAACAATGAATAAATAAATACTTATGAATACAAAATCTTGCCAATGATCTTGACTTTTGATGTATATATATATATATATATATATATATATATATAATGTATGTAACCATGAGGTATCAAAAACTATTATGATAAAGAAGTCGTCTTTTCAATGAAATTCTTTTAATTTATTTCTATCTAAACCCAAAACAAAATGAGGGAAAAGAAAGATATAATGGAGGTTTGGTGAATGTCATGGACTATATACTATATAATTTGTCCGAAAATTTTACACTAAAATATAATTATAAAAATTATTTCAAGTATAATTCTATTAAATAAAATTATTTATTGTTAATTTCATCAATTAAGTGAATGACTTATTAATTTAACATTTTATTTTCTCATCCATTTGTAACGGTTGAACTTAATTTAAAGAATACTTAAATAATAAATAACTGTTATAAAAAAAAATGTACTTGATCGAGTAGATAACTTTAAAATAAATTATAGAATTATTGTATTTTATGCGTATTAGTTTACAATAATAAAAACAGTTATCAATATATTCAATTACCTTGAATGTGTTTTAACCTCTCATCTCATCTATGAAAGAAGCACAAATTTCCCTTTTAAGTTGTTTTCCATTAACTAAAATTACAAAATTTTATATATAATAGTTAAATAAAGAAAAGAAGTGAGGTAGTGAATTAAAATTTTTTATAAAAGGTATCTCAATCACGGTATGACTGCATCATCTCAGAACGGTATGTAACTCTAACTTTTTTACTGTCTTTCTTTTCTTAAGATATGTTGAATTCAATAAAAAAATAATTTCGACATAAAAATTTCTTATATTTGCTATCAGAGCAATAATATATATAAACTGTTAATACAATAATATATAAATAAAATGTTAGAGCAATAATATATATATATATAGAAACTGTAAGTGTAAAATTATATATGTATATAAACTGTTAGTACAATAATATATATATATATATATATAAATATATAAACTGTTAATATAATATATATATATATAATGTTAGTATAATAAAATATATATATAAACTGTTAGTAATAATATATATAAATATAAATTATTAGTATAATATACATATATATAATGTTGGTATAATAATATAAATATAAATTGTTAGTATAATATATATAATGTTAGTATAATACTTTATATATATATGTTAAGTTACAGTTAATTTCATAAATGTAAATAGATATGTATGTTTTATACAAATTATGATTTTGTAGTTTTATGACTTAAGATTTATTAACATAAAGAGTTGCCAGAGTAGCTCAGGTTGATGAATCTTACGTTAGTTAATACTTGGTGGATTGATTCTAGAGCCACAACTCATGTTACTAATTTAACATAGAGATTCCTTACAACTCAAAAACTGAAAGAAAGTGAAAATTTCCTCTATATGGGAAACCATCTCAAAGTAAAAGTGGTAGTTGTAGGTACCTATCGCTTGCTATTAGAGACTGGTCATCAAATGGACTTTTTGAACACTTTTTATATTCCTTTAATTTCTAAAAATTTAATTTCATTATCCAAATTAGATGTTGTTGGATATTCAGTTTATTTTAGTTGTGGAAGGGTAAGTTTAGTGTTTAATTCAATTACAGTTAGTTCTGTTATTTTATATAATGATTTATATAAAATTTGTTTGAATCATGAATTTGCACAAGCTTTAGTTACCTTGCATTCAACTATTGGATCAAAACGTGACTTAATTAATGAAAATTTTTTATTCTTGTGGCAAAAAAAGCTAGGGCATATCTTTAGGGAAAGAATTAAGAGATTCATGAAAGATAGAATTTTACAAAATCTTGACTTCATTGATTTTCAAGTATGTATAGATTGCATAAAAGGAAAACAAACTAAACATACAAAGAAATGTGTCATAAGAAGTAATGAGCTTCTTAAGATAATTCATACAGACATTTACAGACCACTCTCCATTCCTTGTTTTACTGAAGCGATATATTTTATCACATTTATAGATGATCTATCTCGGTATGGTCATATATATCTAATGGATGATAAGTCTTAAGCCATTGACATCTTTAAAGTGTACATTATAGAGATTAAAAGATAATTATAAAAAAGATTAAAGTTGTGATATCTGATTAAGATGGTGAATTCTATAGTAGATATGATGAGTCAGGATAAACTTCTAATCCATTTGCCAAATTCTTATAAAAATATGACATTCATACTCAATACACAATGCTAAGTACACCATAACATAATGGTGTTGCTAAAAGGTATAAATTTACTTTAATGGAAATGGTTAGGAGTATGATGAATTAATCTTCTGTACCTATTTCTTTATGTGAAGCTTTAAAGACCGTAATGTATATCTTGAACTGAATTCCTAGTAAAACAATGTCTGCAACTCCTTTTGAGTTATGGACTGATAGAAAACCAAGTTTAAGACATTTACATATATGGGGTTGTCTAGCGGAGGGAA